CGTAACTGTAAATTGCCTCATCCGGGGTTTTGGGTTGTTCCAGGTGTGGGCTCCACCGGGAAGCGTGTGCCACAAAGTGTCACCGTGGTTATACGCCCTGGCTTTTATTTTCTCAGCTCTGTTTTCCGTCGCTTTCCCTTCCAGTCTCTCTGGCCAAATGTTTTTACACTGAATTTGGCTGAAGAAATACACACTTTTGACCGCAGGCTCAACGCAGAAAACGTACAAAAAGCACATGCTCTTATTTTTGGATGATTCAAGATAAAAGAAACCAACCTGAGCACCAATCTTGGCTTTAAAATGCCACAACAATTGTATTCTAATTCAAAATTAAAGTAAAAGATTTTAAAATGTATTTAAATTGAAGATGAGTACAGTTTTCTTAATGGTTAACAAGTAAATTTTATGTCAAGACATGGCATTTTGAAACTTTACAACTAATTTTCCAGTGCAAGGCACTAGTTTCCCTGAGGGAACTAACAAAATTATATCAAAAAATCAAACATTTCATTACATGCCGCATTTTAAGGCACTTAGTTTGCCTTGGTGGCTGTTGGATGATGGCTCAACGCTAGATGCGTTTTGTAATTTAGGCAAAGAAAATGTTTTAAATGAAATGAAAACACGTAAGAGCCTCCCCTCCCACCGACATCTTCTCTGGGTGGGTTGGGGGCAGGCGGCGGCTTCCGTGTAGTTTCTGGCAAATGAAACAAAAGCAAAAACATGCGCATAAGAGTCGCTTCTCAGGTGGTAACATGTAGCAAGGATTGTTTTCCTACCACTCCCCCCTGCCAGTCCTTGATTAATTTTCTCCCTGCTCCAATTTGCAGTTTTTCCCGGCAACGGCTCGCCTCCTGTCCACCGACAATTTAAAGTGATAACAAGAGCGAGGCGAGATTTTAAATTAATTTAATTTCATTACGTTTTTGTTGCATTTGCGTCCCGGAGCTGTGTTTTTTTATTTAACCGGCTTACAATTGGCCCGATCAGTGTCACATCCATCCTCGTCAGCCGGTTCGCCTAATGGCCAGTGACACTGATTTAAATTAAATATTTGACCGGTCCGAGTCCGACTCTGTCACTCTGTCAACACGGGATTCAAATAAACATGAACTGTTTTTCACATTGTTCCGGTTGCTGTTATCCTTTCTCCTGTTTCCCTCTTTTTTCTCTTTATTTTTTTGTCGTTTTTTTTATTATTTAATTTTAAAATAACTGGCTAAAACAAAGTTGATTTTTTGAAACCAATGACAGGACGGTCTAATAACAGGACTTAGGGTGGAATTGCGAGTGATGGAATTTAAAGTGACCTATAAAATAATGTAATTGGTTTTAATATATGATTATAATTATAAAAATGCTTCGCCTAAACAATAAATATAAGGAAAAAACCTTATTCATTAGTTTTCTCTGCCTCAAAATTATTTAAAAATATTTATTAGAAATTCAAACAAATTCTAGGTACCATTTCCTGAATCTAAATTATGCTTAAATTGTTAAAATCCAGAAAAATCCATCACCCTTAGATAAGCTTTGCAAAATCAGTCAAGTCAGTGTCAGCAAAAGGAGTTTTTCCCCTTTTTTTTTCTCACAAGTGAGCATTGATTTTACATTTTGAGCCGAGGCTGTCAGTCAACGCGTTGCGAGGTCATGACTCGTGAGTCCTGACTCCTGATTCCTGACAAGGCAACTGGACCCGACATGCGTTCGACGCGATGATGGCAATTTAAGCACAAAGTCCCTCTGCATTGCTCCTTTTCGGGGAGTTAGAAATGCTGATGATCGTGTTTTAGACACTGTGCAAAAAAAAGTTGTATAAGACTCCCAAAGTAAGATTAATTTAAAGCTGTAAGGCATTAAATATATTATTTAAGGCCCTTTTTAATGACGGCTTGCTTTGTTAGTATATTCCTATGAACTGCAAATTTTTTCCCAGTGTTGTTTCTGTTGTAATTAAATGGGAAATCGTCAAAGGTGGGCCAAATGACAGATGTGCAGCCCCAGTGCCATTGTGATTCCTTTTGGAAAGAACTGCCAGAGGCAGCAGTCGTCTTGTCCGTTGAATTTTGACTGCTGGCAGTTTTGGGGAAAATCTAGTGGAACCCAAGTGGGGGGAGGTTTTTCACACAGCCTGCTGTATCATTGGCAAATTGCATTGACATATTGTTGCTATCGGCTATCCGGGGCCTTCTTCGGTCCCTGGGAAATGTCAAAATGTCGCGTCACGATACCCGGACTACACCCTACTCCACCCACTCCCCTCCGAATCCGACCAAAGGCAATCGAAATTGCCAATCCATATCCCGAAGCCAACCCGCGACCCGTCCGCCACCTTCTGCCAGGACATGAAGCCTATAAAGCCTTTGGCTTTACGCTCGGCATTAAGTGGACTTATAATTAAACGATTTGCTCATTTAATCGCGTCCGTTTATCGTTCGCTGAGAGGCGAGCATGAAAACGAATTTCCCTTTGCTGCAGGACATGTCGGAAAATGTCGACTGTATGTGCTATGTCCTTGTTGTTGTCAGTTAATGTTGTTGGCCCTTCTGATTCCACACTCGCCATTGGCTCCAAGATAAAGTGTTTCCTTAAAGGGCAAATACTTGAGCAAAACATTAAAGTTTACTTAGAAACAAAGGAGGAGAGAGGAAGTTAGCTTCTGCTAAAGTATCCTTAAAAAAATCTGCAAAAAAAAATCGATCAAGCTTCTTAAAAAGTCTTTTTAAACACCTTGTGGAAATTTCTTGTAATTATTAAATTAAATTTTATGTTTTGCTAATTTAAAAGACTTCCAAGTTTGTAAATAATTTCAACTATATATTTTGTACCTTTATTATTGGTGTGATTTTTTAAGTTATAATAATATCTAAAGTTACCAATTATCTTAAAAAAAAAAAACTAGAAGAAGGCTGAGAAAAAGTTTGAAATGTCAACTAGGATGGTCGACCTTCAAACACGGGTAATATCCCACATGGGTGCCATTTAAGCAATCTGTCATATGCCCGCCAAGATGCTTAACTTTTCCCCCACCGCGACTCAGGGCTTTTCCTTCGCTTTTTTTTATGACAGGGCACGACAAGCGAGCGACAATAACAACGATAACAACAGCAGGAAAAATAAATGGGCAACCGAAGAGGCGTGTGAAGTCCTATATAATACACAGCAAGAAAAAACTAATTTCATATTTTAATTCTATGATTATAATATAACATTCTTAACATTTTCATAACAAAATCTCAAAGAACAAAATTGTATAAATATTTGTGATAAAATTTCAAGATCAGTATCAATAATAGAAATTGTGTAAATTTAAGTAAATTACTTTAGCAACATAATTTCTTAGGCAATACCTTTTTCTTCGCGTGCCTTGAAGGCCCAACCGAAACCGGGGACTGGGGAAGTGGATGAGTCGCTGCCGTGTAGTTATAAAAATGGTTATCTTAAAGCTCCTGTCAGTTGGCTGGCATTCCCCTCCAGGTTCTCCGGCTGTCTGCTGATGAAAACGAACTTGACAATACGAATGAGTTTCTTATAACAACAGCCGGAAAAGCGGCGGGCGGCTAAGGGCAAGTGGAGGGGCGGATACAAACTGAAGCGACAGCAAAAAGTGCGAACGTGCCGCCAAATCAAAAAAAAAGAAAAAACCCCAAGCTGAGGGGAGTAAACAGCAAAATCGAAATGGAAACTTTTGGCTCGGATTGAGTTCCTTGGCTTGTCCTAGGTTTCATGGATAGTAAATCTCGCCAACAAAAAAAAAATGACAGAAAGCAAAATAGCTTCTGTCCGTGTTGTATCTCTTTGCTTTGTTTTACGGGGGAGTTTAATAAATCAAAATTATTTCACAATTCGAATATATTCACAAGATGTTTGCATGGATTTTACAGCTTGTTATAACACTACATGCTTAAGATTTTTTAAAAGATTTTTTCCTTAAAAAGGGCATGGAAAGAACCCCGAATTATGAAAGCATAAATGTAGTGTAATAACCTCATACAATAGAAATAATTGGTGTTAAAAATGTATTTAAGAATTGTTATTTTTAATAATTATTTTAGTTTGTTCTTTTTAATTTAAAAAGTAAACATTTTTCCATTTTAAAAGATTTTAATAACATTTTGTATCATTTTTTTATGATCCCACAATGGAAATATACCTTCCACAAGGGTATGACAATGTCTTTTAATTTCACTCCCGAGTTCAGGGCTTATGTCGTTGGAGGGGTGGAAGCGGGGTGTTGGCAGGATAACACCAATTTCGCTTATGACAGTTATTACAAATGCTGCTTGTCTGTGCGCCAGATAAAATGAGCAGCAGCCAGAATCGCTCCCACATCTCGTTTATCCCTCAAATGAAAAGATATTGTTCCGCAGCTCCCTTGGCGCTCTTTTAAGCCCCCAAACCAGGTTGTTATTGAAGTTTTTGGGAATCAATTGAGCCCACTTGAAGAGCAGAGAGGGGAAAAAATCACAAATATTGTATTAATGAAGTCAAAAGTCAACTATGAGATATGCTGACTTATCAGTCTATATACAGTAATAAAAACAGTCATAAATGAAATAAAATAAAATATATGCAAATACATTCTATCTATTATTTAAATATATATTTTTTAAATTAATACAAATTAATAAAACACTTAATTTGGTTGACGATTCATATAAAAACAATTTAATGAAGCAACAAATTAACAATTATTTTCTAAAATAAATGGTACTCACTTATCAATTATCGTCTTATTTTATTTCGGGTGCACAAGTTCAAGGCTAGTGCAATCGCAGGGGAATACTTTTTAAACGAAGATTAAATTTCCTTATCTTTTGACATTATTTATGCTCTTGCTGAAATGAAATTATAAGAAAAGATCAAGTTGGAAAGCTACTGTTCAGTGTAACTGACTATGAGATACCCGTTATCCAAAGTATTCTGGGTTAAAACAAAGGACTTGACTTAATTTATTTAATTATTTTATTTATTTATTTTCTAATTATTTCATATTAATGGAAAACTGAAATTTAAATGTGCCAAAAATTACAACTTTTCACACAATTGGTATGTTAGTTACAATTCCCATTTTGATGCCCGTATTGACAACATTTTTGGGGAAAGAAATACGTCCTTTGCTGGCATAAGGCTCGGAGGTTTACATTGCAATTGTTGTCGTTCATTCCGTACTGGCCATTCCTCTTCCAAATTTGAACGCAGTGCTCAACGCCTCCAGCGTTATCTGGCTGTCCATGAGTCCAACCAGATGTGGTCAGAAGCTGGCCCGTGGCTATCGAGTGGAACAGACCCTGAGCTCTGCCGAGGTCCCAGTATGACACCCAAAACAGATCATTGGATTCGGAATTATAGCCGTGTTGAATCAAAAAGTTGGATACCGCTTCTAGATCGGCAATGGAGTCGAAGGTTGCCAGGTCAGCGCCATGTGCAATGCAATGATCGCGGGCGGCAAAGAAATTTGTTTTTATCGGCGATATGTAGTAGTTCTTTGGGCCACTGCGGAAAAAATCTGTTTTATAAAATGAAACAAAAATTACATTTTAATTAAAATTGTTTAACAAAGACATCTCACCATTTCGCACAGCTCGAACGCTGACGATCAAGATGCTGATCAAAATATAGACCGTTGCTCGATTATACATCTCACTTTTATTGTTTCTACCGGACTGTTTCACAAATCGGGAGTGTTTCTATTTTATAGCCAGCTCTCCCTTGTTTGTGTTAGTCTTATCTTGAATAAGCTAAGCACCTGTCTATATTTATACAGATTAAATTTTAAGAGGGGAATGGAACAGTGAAAACGAAAAATTAATTGTGTTTTTCGTTCTTTCTTGAAAAAAGGTTGTTCTATATACTGGGGAGAAGTAAAAGAGTTGGATCGTCAAGTCTATATTTCCCCTTTCACATCCCACGAAATTAAATTGTGCTTTGCTGTTGATTAAACATTATGGCTTTGCCTTCAAATTGACACATGACTAAAAAGTAGCCAAGCCGGCCTTATTTTTAATAATTTTTTTATTTCTAATTAAAAAAATCTATAAAAAAATCGTTTAAGTTACATTATAAAATACCTTCCTCAAAAAAATTATATAAAATATTATCTTCTTAACGGAACTTTAACATATTTTAAACTGAAATAGACTCTTCAATTCACATCCGTAGACTTTGATGGTTAGATGAAAAAGATAGTACCTAGTTTCTGGTGGAAATCGGCTTTGCCTTTCTTTTTGATGCCCTTCGAACATCTCTGCTGGGAACATAACAAAAAATTATGGTACATGAATATTTGGGAGTGATTATTGTTCACCGATAATTTCCTAGACTGCCACAAGATCATTATATTTTATTGTCGACTTTTGGGGCTTACGGCTTTTGAGGTGTGTACCATAAATACTGCATGCAGATCGACAATTTTAAAAAATTGATATTTATTATAAGCCAAAAAAGAAATACAAATTCCTTAAATGTTTTTACAATTTTTTCCACAAAAATCATTTAATTGTTAATAAAATTTACTTGGATTCACAAACTAATACTTAAAAGATTTTAAATTTATTTAAGCTTAAGTTTTGACTTTTAATTTGATTAGACTAGATCTTGGAAGTGACAAGTAGACAAAGGGAGCCTTTACTATAGGCTTACTATTTACAAATTACAATGAAATTTGAAATTTAAGTACAAAAACACCTTATTCATTATTGCTTCTTAGTCTTTAAATTAATACAAATCGAAATTTCCAGTCTTAATATGCATAAATCTTTTAGCATATTCCAAGAAATACAAAGCCCCAACTCACTGCTTAAATTCCTTTTATTTAATTTAATACTTTGTTTTCCCATTCGATTTAGGCATCCATGCCAAAGACTTGCTTAAAATAGACAGACATTTGCATTATAATTTGCAGGGAGTAGCAGAGTCGCTGGCTGAATATACATATATAGTATGTATACAATAAGGTGTCAAAGGCCTTTTGTTCGCCTGTCAATGACAAGCTGGCAGAAGTGTGCCAAAAGAGTCGGCAAAAGACTTTGTTAACCCCAAAAAACGACAGCGACATCGGCTTTGTCAGCTGAGAAAATTGTGTGCAAAATTCAAATCTCTCCCCTTTTTTTTTTTGCTTGGACCAACTCGACGGCCGGTCGACGGCCGCTGTCGTTGGCAGCCAGCCCTTTTAGACCCGCTGCCATGTCTAACATAATTTAAAGCCGTAGAAAATTGTCGAAGTCTGGGCATTTGGGGGCCATAAGCTAAGCGCTGTCAGGCCTGCCAGTTGACCCTGACGAGCAGTCGAGCAATCGATTTGCCAAAGACCCAACGACTTTTACAAGCCTGTCACTTGACTTGGTCCTCGGTCCTTGGTCCTTAGTCCTCGGTCCTTGGTCCTTGGTCCTCGCTCCCTTTGTTGGCCGATTTTATGCGGCTACATAGTCGAGGAGGGCCCACATCGACGTGTGGTAATCGGGTCTGGAGCACGGGCGATCCTAAGTCGGATTAGTGACACGCCCCCACGCACGCAAACACACGGAGGCCATAAAAATTAAATGTTTGGCACTCTGAAAAACAAGGTATGCAATTTTTAGAAATAGGAATGGAAAAAGATCATTGAAATCAGAGGCTGAATAAAGAAAATTAGGCCTAAATATTGCCAAATTGTAGATCTTACAATTGAGAGAATTTATTTATAGTTACTCTTAAAGTATATATAAAGTGTAAAATATATGATAATCTTAACTATAATATAATATAATATAAATATACATAAATTAAATTTTCTAGTTTTATTGTAATCAAAATGTTCCTCTCAGTGCCGCACATTTTGCATTGTCTCTGGTGCAGGCCGTATCTTGGATTTCAATTAAACGTTCTCCGCCCTCTAATCGAATGAGGAGAAAGCCATAACTCAGTCAAGGCTGCTCCTGCAAGCCGCGAGTGTCCTGCGATTCAATTATACTACCCTCAGACCCCATCACCATCCCCTCATCCGGCCCCAAAACTAATCGTAATTGAAGACAGCGCCGCGTCCTTCGCCATCTCAGGTGTGCGTCTGTACTGGTCTCATTATTTATGGATTTGTTAGTGCAATTTGGCTTAATTAAGGTGTTTGGACGTCGTCAGATCTCGAATTGTGTGCAAGGAAGGACGTCCAGAGGTTTACCGAGCACTCGGCAACCCTCTGAATAGAGCATCGCAGAAGATTTAATATGGTTTTAAAGTGAAACCCCTAAAGTTTAGGTAAGCAATTAGGCTTACATTTCACTACTTTCGGTTTTAATTTTGGTTTTTTAAATTTAAAATGCATTAAGGTTATTATTTTCTTCTCTAAAAATACAGAGAAATATATATTATTTTAATAACAAACCAATTTACCTGCTCTACTGTTTTCATTGCGCAATTTAAGGTAATTTTTCATTGCGATTTTCTGGCCATTGAGGGGCATAAATGCCATAACACACATATGTATATATTTTTAATTCTATGGCCGAGAGTGTGCGCTGCACTTATCCTTTCACTTGATGCGCATAATGAAGAGCACTTTGCGCTTATAAAAGCAATGGCTAAAAACAGGCAACAAAACAAACTGTGATGCAAACAAACAAACACAGAATCGTCAACGGGCGTGCGATTCGCATAAAAAAGCCTGTTGGTTCAAATGAAAGGTTGCATTTAGCCAACTTGAGATCCCACCCACACATGCAGAGCCATGCGCGTGCGAAGGACACGACCAGTGACTGCAAAAACTGAAAGTCGTAGCGAGGGAAGTTTAAATAAATTCTTAATGCAAAAGGATAAAATATTAAGCCTTTATCGAGTCGAACTTTAAATATATTTCTTACTTTCTTAGTATTATTTATTAAAATTAAAGCTTGCAAAAGGAATACATAAAGATTGAACCCATTTCAAAAGCTCTGATGAATATTTAATATTTGTTTAATATAAAAATATTAATTGTAATTGTAGTTTTTAATCCTGTATCATTTCAAATATCAGCTAAACCCTCGCTGCTGCCTTTTTTAAAGCCTTTTTCCTTGGCAAATTGAATGCAAACATACGAGGAGAAGAGGGCACAGCACATTTCTTGCCGCCCGCTGTCAATTGACGACCACGCCTCCTTTTTTTTCTGTTGAAGGGGGAACTTAGTTTTTAATTTCACTTTCGCTGCCAGAGACGCCCCCTGCGGCCTCGTTCACATTTTTGCTCATTTAATACGTGCGTTGGCCGCAAGGACACTCCACAGCTTCAGTCCTCCTACAGCTTTCTACCGGTTTTCTATGCACTTTCGGCGGGCATTTTAGTTCTTAAAACTAACCGAAGGTGTTTTTAACGGCTTATTACTGCATAAATAATCTATGTTAAATATTTTTTGGTTTATTTAAGAATTCTAATTTAAGCAAGACCTCGAAAAATGCTGGCTATTAAAGCTAGATAAGTCTGTTAGGGTATCTTAAGCTTCGTCCACAGCAAAAGTCCTATCTTTCTCCCTTTTTTTTTCTTATTTGAGGTTTTGATGTGTTTATGTATTTACAGCACACACACATAAATCACACACATGCACACACATAGTATATACTGGCACCCGCACCCGTTGGCATGGGCATAAGTGGCTTTAGCCGAGCGTGGAGGGGCCAACAGTAAACAGCTGCGAGATAAATTGCTCATCTGTTCGACCTCGCCTTCCTCTCCTCTTGGACGCCTCGGAAAGCCTGGACTCAGTGTCATCGCTTCGCAGGGCTCTGAGCTGAAGTGTTAAGTACATAAAACCCACATACATTGCGTTTATCCATAATGATGACCTAACTTATGACTCGTCCGGCCACGCGGCGTATACGTAATGCGCCTCAGAAGCGGAAAACGGAAACGAAAACGCGTTGCTTTGCTGGAATAAAAAAAAGATAAAGCCGATATTGCCGGGAAATTTCTTTGGGCTTTCGACATAAAGACTGGATTTTATTTTACGACAGATATTCTTAAATATACAATTTTATTTCACAATGAAAGTGCATTGATAGGGTTAAGGACATTGAAATCTAATTGATTACATTGTTAAGGAAATACCAATTTCACGAAGCAATCGTGCAATGTTTTGTTTAGCCATCCGATGCACATATTCCGCCATCACCTAGTTTCTGAATGACTCCGGATGCTTTGTCCGTGAATCGTGTCCTCTGACCCCGTGTGCTCCCTTTTGGCACTCCTGGTGGACCAGGAATCGGCAGCCACAGGGCCAATGGGGAGCACTTTGCCACTCAAGTGCCAAACAATTTCAAAAATCAACACCACACTCAGTCGGAACGAAAAGGTAGAGGGAGAGGAGACTAAAAGGAAACCGGAGGTGGCTGGGAAAAGGAAGGAAAACCAATTCATTTGGAAATGCGGAGAGCAGTACAGCTCGTATTGCAATGTCACTGGCAAAAGCCAACCAATCTGGGCGCTCAATTAATTAACTTGGCCAAAAGGTAACGCCGCTCCTGGCCCTAATGAATACCAAATGAGCATATCAGCATGTGTACCCCGCCGCGACAGCTCGCGATTTATTTTGAGTAATAAATTCGCTAAAAAAGTGTCACAAATTTATGGAACCGCCGACGTTTCAGGGACGCGGATGACAGATTGCCCGGGATGCGAATGAACAGAGATTTCCTGGGGTTCAGTTGGGGGGG